AAGCAGAATCCATGTACTTGTGTGTTAAGCATTTGTGACATTCTACTAGTATTTCCAGAAGTCTGCTCAAGCCAATGCTAGCTTTGAACGTTCAGCTGCTGACCTCCTAGCAAACTGCTACACTATCTCCATCCGTATCCTCCCTTGCTATCCTCTGTCGAGATGACCTACCACCATTCTTCCCAAAATTAGTTTCTGAAGGTTATTTCCATCTCCATGCTGATGCAAGTGAAGTATATAGGTTTGCACCTGTTGATTTCTGACAACAGAGTTAGCCTTTTCCAATAATATTTCTAAACTCGGCTTTCATCTTATTTTCCGCCCAAGAGATATGCAAGGATCTTTGGCAGCATCATATCTCAAAGGCTTCAGTTTTATTCCTGTCAGCAGCATTAGCTTCCCACAKTTTCTGTCTAGAGGTTACTGTGGATGAGATGGAGCTTTTCATCAGTTAGATTTTCAAATGATTCAAGATTAACTGTTCTTTCTAGATGGTCACAAGGCAAATATAAAAATTGCTGAGTCAGGTCCTGTAATTCCACATTACCCTGAGCAAAACCAATTCTTAATTTCTCCCTTTTTTTTTTCATTAAATATACATGATCCCATATAACTGTATTCAGATATTGCATCAATTTGCCATGAATTGTAAGGATTTTACGTGCTACATTTACTCATCAAGTCAGTGCTCACATTCATGGATATTGATAACATGACCTTGAAAAAAAAACACGTATTTTAATTAATTTCATCTGACAGTGTTCAGCCATTTATGAGTGCAGAGCTTGGGAGAAAGTACATGATCTTATCTGTGTTAAAATTACCAGTGATATTTCCTACTAATGGCTTTCCAAATTCTTGGAAGAAGAGAATTGAAATACAGCAAGAAAGTGGCACTTTCATCAGAAATGTACCTCTTCCCTTCCCAGAGAAACCACCCCATCCAAAATGTAAGTCCTTGACAAAGTGCAGTTTTAAATTGTCAGGTCCTGTTCCTGCTTCATAGAATCTAGAGCCTGATTTTCTCGGAAAGTTAGGATGTTGCTGATACCAAGTTCAGAGAGTAAGACGGGGAACAAGGGGAACTGCCTTCTTGAAAGAGAAGGAAGCAAAAATAACATCCAAGAAAAGAACGAAGAGAAGAGACCCAAATGAAGAAACTGTGATGAAAGGAGAAAAGGAAGTGGAAGTGTGATCAGAGACCTTCAGCTATGAGAGAGAAACTTAGAGCTGAGATGGAAGGACAGCAGCGGGAAGCAGGAAATTGACAGCAGTCCTGTAAGGTGGGAGAGACCAAGGGAAAGAGACTGGAGATGGAATCTAAGAACAGTAATGAGGTTCTCTGTAGCAACTCCAGTTGTTAAGAGCTGGGATGCTAAATGGTGAATGAAGTACCACAAGACTTATRTATATTTGATACACGCTTTTCTGTTACCCAAAAGATAAGAAAGCAGTATTGGTGCTGATTTGGGATTTCTAGCTGGGAAAGTTGTGGCTGTTGTGCTTGATCACATTGTAGTCCATGTTCTCATCTCACCAGGTATAGCTGCTGTCATAAAAACAAAACCAACCAACCAAACATTAAAAAAACCCCACTACTCAATTCCATGCAGATATGAAATGATTATTCTCTTAGGCTGCAAGAAGAGATCAGATCAACAAAGACTTTATATTTTAGTGGATGATTGAAGGCACTTAATTAYCATTGTTGTCTGCTAAAATATACCTTGTAGCTTTTAATATTTACTAGATTCTGAACTTTACAATCAAAATGGAATTGGAAATTCATCTGATAATATGGAATTACAGGAGGTGACTTGACAATGTTTATACCTTCAAAATTAGTTATGTACAACATGGAGCAATTTCACCCTAATCAGTCCAAATGAGAGTCAAGGGAAACAATTACCTCCTACAGTTTTTTTTTAACAGATTTTGCTGCAGAAAAATGTTTATCAGAAATTCCCCACAATATTATTTGTTTCTACTCAGAGCTGTAAAGTGAAAATGTTATTCTATGTTAGTTTTTAGGCAAAGTGTTTTTAAGATGTTTTTTTCCTTGGGACATTTTCCATATGCTACAATATTTTAAGTGTATTTTTAAACAGTGACTGGCAATCTCTGAAACACCACTTTAACAGGAGTGAGGTCATACGCTACTAAAATACTACTTATACTGGGAAATTGAAATGAATTGAAAGTAGCACAGCTAAAAAAAGGGAAAGCAACAGGTGTTTTATTAGATAGCAGATGTTGGCCTTTTTTCCAGCTGTAGAATAACTGATACGTCATCCTAAAAAAAATCTTTAAAATTTGCGTATTTCTATTGCTAGATATCAATAAATGGCAGGATTCCTGATTTAAAATGTTTCTTTAATTGCTTTGATAAATAGAACATGGTGTCCTGTGTGCCACTCTTCTAGATTTTCACCAGTTTTATATTGTCATACAGTACTGAAATAATTTTGCTTGGGTACCAGGCATCTGATGACTAGGAAAAAAAAAAAAAAGAGGAGGAGCGATCAGCACTCTGATTTTCACAGAGATTACTGTAAATTGCATATGTAGCCTCTTATAAAGAAGTATTTATTGTACTGCAATAAAGAGTAATTTTCTTGGATGTCTTTCAATCAACCTACTGAAGTAAGAAAAGTGGGTTTTATCTCTTCCTAAGATTTACAGTGCCTTTGAATATTAATGTGAGCAAATCTTCTCAGAATCACAGAAGACCCATGTATTTCAATTTTGCTTTTGTTTAAAATTGATATACTAAATCTTGCCCACATTATTGTCACAAAATCATTTTGAGAAACTTTTGAAACATCCTGTTTAAATCCATGTTGTTTTTTTAGACATACTCCCCAAAATGAATAGATGATAAAATAGTTACAATTTGATCATTTATCCTGATGTTTCAGACTGAATATTGTATATACAGAATGCCATAATGTTCTCATATTTTTAAAATACACTGACTTTTGCTCAGTAGTAGTTTCAGATGACTAATTATTTTGTACAGCACAGAACTAGCATTTAAATGGAGATCAGAGGCYTTTTGGTTTGTGCAGTTTTGATATCTTAGCACATGATTCACAGCCTTCCAAAGCAATATGTTAATCAGAAGAGGTATGTGTGTAGTAAGTGAAGCACAGATGATTCCACCTTTTTTGTAAAGTGTATATAATGCTACAGTATTGAACTGGAAGCACTAACATTTAAGAAGTATGTATCTGCAATGGATATAGAACACAAAATGGTTATGAACTCAGTTTGCAAACGCAGGTACTGTTTAAACTGTGTGCAACTAAGGTGTCACTCTGGAAGTGTGGAGCCACGTGGAAAAACTATCCCTGGGCTATTCAACCATCATTTCAGTCCATTTTGTTAGTATTTTAAAGGAACTCCTTATGTAACAGCTATGTCGGTGCGCTACCAAAACCCTTGCAAGCAATGAGGGCTACTGAAGATTTTGCAAGACTTAGCGTTTTACGTAGAGCTTCTTTTTTAGGCTTTACTTTATTTTATGCCATGTAATGAAGTCACTCATGCAGTGTAAGTACCATCTGTCCACATAAGGCACAGGAGAATCTTGTGATTTGGGGGAAACCCTGGCTCCATGGAAACTGAAGCACAATATTATTCAGTGGTTTCAGTGGAGCCAGGATTTTCTGCATCTTTAAATAAATACTTTGAAAATAATTACTCGCCGAGCTGGAGATCAATATCAACTGCTGATGGCATTGTGTTATGGAGTATTATTAGCAGYGATGGCTGTGAGCAAAGACAAATCTCGCTCTCTCTCCTTCCAAAGGGGACACAGAGGGAGGAATCCTTGCTCTTTTCAGGACCAAATTAAGAGCAGAAAATGGTGAGCCTGGTCAGGGGCATGTTGCTGCTTTTGGCTGCCCCTTTGGGCCAGAGCCTACAGTCTGATCTGGGAGCACAGTACTCATACAGAGAAGACCTCAGCAGATGCCTAAGTAAGGSAATTGCTGTCTGATACCCTCCGGGRTCAATGCTGGAGGAAGGAAGTGTAGGTAGAATATCTTAGCAGTTTAGTCATCACAGAGGATGAAAAAGGTCCTTTGAGGCCGCAAGGGCAACTCCTGGATTCCTGAGATTTGCACCAATCAGACCAATCCCAGGCTAAGAAAGAGAGGCGAGATGAGGGCGTGAGGAGAGATGAAATTTGATTTAGGACAGGCCTTCACATCTCCACATATCCGGCAGCCTCTGCCTTCCTCAGCTGAGCCCGGAGATTCGAGCAGTGCCTTTAGAGGAGATTTCTGTTAGGTGAAGGTTTTGCATTTGGACTTCTCAAAAATACAAAAGTGCAAGCAGAGGAGAGTAAATACAATGATAATAGAGCTAATCATTCTGTAATTGCTCTGCATTATCCTCCATTTGTTTTAATCACTGTGATAGCAATCAATCAAAAAGGGTCATGTAGGCAGGCTATGTGATACAGCTACAGCAGATACACCCTGAAGCTGCAGAAGGGCTTTTCCGTTGTGATATTTCGAGATTTATCTATTCCTTGCCTGCGCTTCTAAAAGCAGCAAGCGCTGCCAGTAAGACCCATGCCAGTAAATCCCTCGTGTTCAGTTGAACCCCACGTTTAGCCTCACCCTCGCCCGCCCGGCTGCAAACGCGCGCGCTCTCACGGCCGCCGCGCCGGGGAACCCGCTCCCCGTCCCCGGGCGCTGCGATCCCGGCGCGCGCTCCCAGCGCAGCCTCCGTGCAGCGAGGCCAAGGCGGAGGCGCGAGGGCAGCCCTCGCCGCTCGCCTGGACAGCCGCCGCTGCCGCTTGATCGTGCTGCCGCTGCAGCCCGTCCAAGTTGGCAATGTCACCCCGAGCTGATTGGAGCCTCAGACATTTTTGCTGACTGGAGTCATGCTATCTTTGCCAGTTTGCTGGAATAGACACAGACACTGATTGGGTCATGCTGAAAACATTCCTGTCCCATGAAGCAAGTCTGTTTGTATTTTAGGTTGGCCAGGACTAATGAATTAAAAATCTTGCACTCACCGCAGTTTGCTGCTTAATAATGCCTGTGGCAGAAGGATTTTTTCCTCCCCGAGGCGTGACAGCGTCGTAACCCCCTGCCACGGGAAAGGAGAGGAAGGAGAAGCGGAATTGTGGCGAGAAGCGGAAAAGGGCGACTTTCGGGGCGGCAGAGCCCGTGGGAAGTGCAGGTAGCAGCATGTTGCCCTGACAGCTGTCCCAGCTCCTCAGAGCGTGTCAGCCTGTTGCCATGCAGCAGGTGCAGCCTTTTCTTTTATTGAAGCCTTAGTGCATAGAGGCAGCGAGAAGCCAAGGCAGTGGCCGGCCTGGGATTATACAAGTGCAGACACTCCACTAAGTGAGGTAAGGCGACAGGTGTGAAAACCGGACTAAATTGATCGAGCTGTAGCAACACTTTATCTCAGCTCTGATAGGGATGTCTTTTTTTTTTTTTTTCTTTTTTTTTCCCCCTTTTTTTTTCCTATGGAAGCATCAGCCGGCTCTTTAGGCAATTGCCAGGAACAAGGGGGCTGCTCATTCAATCCCACTGCATTCCACAGGTTGCCTGCTCGCCCACCTTTCTGCCTACAGAGACACTGCTCCCGGTGCCTGMAGAAAGCCTGGGCAGGCAGCCTGTTCCTGCATCCCTTTATTGGCACGCAGAGCATTCCCATCCCCTTTTTTGTCCCATTTGCTTGTCCTTCGGGATGAAGAGCCTGACGAATCTGCATTAAAAAAAAAAAAAAAAAGTGAAGAGATGTATTGCATTAAAAGAAAAAATTACAGATAGCAGAGTTACTGGTGTATACAGAGATGAGTTTTTTTTTATGTGAATGATGAAAAGGCTCTTTGGGCTGAAGAAGGATTTCACGATTACTCACTGAATGGGATATTGATTTTTGCCCTCTCATGGTGGGTGGTTAAAAGAGGCAATTTAAAAATATCAAAGACTACATAGTATGTGACTGGTATAAGACAAGAGATTTGCTTCTCGCAGTGTTGTTATGGCAATTTTAAATCCTCTGGGTGAATGTATTGTTTTAATTTCTTAGGCTATGATATGTGAAGTATTTTCTAATGTGGAAGACCACTGGTGCTAGTAAACAGATGTCAGGGGAATGTGTGCCACCAACATAGACTCATGTCTTAGAGCCTTGTTCATCATCTACTTTTGTTTTGGTTTACCTTAAATTGGGAAGAATGGAAGGGAAATATGATAAATAATGTTGGGGTAGTTGGGCTACACTTCTTAAAAGAGAGTGAAATATCTCAAATGTTTCTGTAAAAGTGAGGCTCTGAAAAAAAAGAGATCAATAACTTTGAGAAGGTGAAAATTACTTAGTGTAATGCAATGCTCTTCAAAATAGAATATTTTAGTTTATCCCCAGATATCTTTTCCTGAGATCACAAATATACACTGTGGCAGTTTCGTGCACATTTCTGTATCTCTGTCCAGTTCATATTGATCAGTTCAGTTTCTGTGTGCTGTGATTATTAGCAATGGGGCATAAAGAACTGTACTGAAGATCCTTCATGTATCGAGACACTCAGCTGCTAATCAGGATAATTCAAAATAATGATTTTAGAATATTTCTTATTGTTTTCAAATAAACATTTTAAATAACAAATTCTTTGCTCAGATTAATGCTAAGACAGATGAAGCCTATGTAAAAGAAATGCTGAAATGAATGAGCCAAATGCAAGTTTGGTACTCTTCCAATGACAGAGGCAGTGATACCAGGGAAGAATTTGATTCACTTGTGCCTCGCCAAGGAAGATGATAATCCTGTAACATTTTTCTGTTCTACYGATTTTCTGAGATTGCCAATAATTAAATTAAAATGGATAGTTGGGTTTTCAGTACAATGCAATAGCCACTTCACTGAACACCTGCAAAATATCAGTTTAGGAATAGATTGGCTTTTGTTTTCACTAGCTAAGTGCTATGTTATCTATTGACATGTTGTACATTCATTGTATTTTCATAAAGAACTTAAGTTTCTAATCGAGGAGTCATTACAGTAATTTTAAGTGCTATCATAATTGTCCACATAGTTGGTATGGGTACAGTGCACTCTGGATAGCATTGTTTTCAGTCTTAAAATTATTTATTTATGGGCAGATCCTTTGCATGCATCAAGTCCCATTGACTTCATGTTCTGCACACATGGAGCTAATTAGGAGATTAACAGCTGTGAATTTTAGCAGCCTTGTGCTCGCTATACAAGGAAGATAACTTTATGTTTAATAGACTTGTACCAAAGCTTAGTGTTCTAAAGGATAAATGTATATAATAGAACCATGACTGCAACTTTATTTGGAGATGGTTTATGTACTAGTACAGATAAGCAGTAACTAAACTTTCTGTTGCTCAGTGACTCTATGGTGCTCTGCTTGAAATGAATGAGTAGTTTTCTTAATGCACAGGGTTTCATCTCACTGAAACCACTTTTTGGAGCTGGTGGTCTTGGAAGAAAGAGCAAAGGAGTAACTGAGGGTCCCGATCCGGGAGTCAAACCCATGCAGGCAGACCCCTACCTCTGCGTAGAGTTCCACTGAGGAAACACCACCAAGGTTTGGAGAGCCTGTTACCTTCCTGACCATTATGCGTGTGTCTACGCGGCACAGCTTGAGTCGGGGAGCATGGGCGGAAGGTAGGAGGATGGGTTCCTCCTCGTTGACACCATCTGGAGCGGTGTGCACGTTTCCAATCACATGGCAGCCTTGGGGTCAGGTTACTCTCCACTCCCCACCCCTTCTTCCTTCTTCACCTTCAGAACCAGGCGGCATTGCCACGAGTCAAGGCTTGCTGAGGGGCAATGGCAGGAAGCAAGCAGGTGAGGAGAGGGGACGCYTCCTTTGCCACTGCGCTATCTAATCTGCAAATAACAGAGGAAGGGCAGTCTCTGCGCTGAATTGCACTTAAATCCTTTTTAACTGGAAAAAAAAATATGAAATGGCACTCCCTTGACTTTGATGCTGAACATTGCTTAGCCGGAATGATAAAGGCAGCTATGAATGCATGAAAAACATTGTAATTCGTTTGTTGGATGGTGTCATGTGCTCTGTAATGAATGTATTGTTTRTATTATTGCAGCTGGAACAAACAAGTAAAAGCGTTGACTCGAGTGCCCACATGATCACCACCGCCAGAGTACCTGCTGATAAGCCAGTGCGAATTGCCTTCAGCCTGAATGAGTCCCCAGGTACAGTGTAATTTACAGAGAGATCCATAAAGAAATAATTGCTTTTCACATTTTACGTGTTCTTGCTAATGTTTACAGTATTGAGTGAAGTCCAATGTTATGGGTGGATTCTTTTTTTCCTGAGTGATAGCGTATGATTGGTTTTACTGCCCAGTAACTTTTAATGTTTTCATTAAAAATTTCACTGGATGTAAATCACTTGACTGACATTTCAGATGTTAACGTTCTTCCGACAGCCTGTAGAACATACTTAGATCTGTAACTAACTATCAAATTTATTTGCATGTATATCAAATTTGGGGTTGTTTGGGGGTCTGCTTTGGGTTTTTTTTTTTTTTTTAATAAAGAGAAGAAAAGATAAGAACTTCATACTGAAGGCTAGAACAGGAAGAGTCCTTCCCTTCAGCAGGAAGGCTGAAAAGTGCCACACGTGCCCAACCTGGTGAAAGCTTTCAGGAAACGGATGCCCCACATGGCATGTTCCCCGGCAGAGCAGCAGAAATTCCACTGATGTTTATCCTGTCAGTTAGTGCTGACTGAGCGTTAACTTCCCCTACACAACCTGTGCAGATGTGAGTCCTTTGGATTCGAAAAATCCAAAGGACTTGTCCTTCAAATTTTATTAAGGTCTGGAGAGCTTTGGCATACAGTAAAAATTTGAGTAAAATAAAGTAAATCGGGAGCTGGGAAGCATCCCAAAAAAAATACCAGGTGTGCTTTAGTTAAAGGTGAGTGCCTGAAGGCAAAGAAGTTGAGATGTGTTTTTTAGCGTGAAATACAAGGATCTCTGATAACGGTAATTGAAATCCCCTGTTGAATGCTTTGTGAGATGGCATGCATTGTAGGGGTGCTATGTCAGGAAGCTTCCTGAGCTTTGTGCGAGTACAGTTTCAGCCTGGATACATTTTTGTCATATTCAAAATATTCTGAAATGTACAGCAGATTTCTTAGTTAATTATTATGTAATATTCATTTGTGGTCACAAGCCTGAGGTCGAATCTCGTTGCCTGTGCAAAGGGACTTAAAATACACATTTTCATACATCATTGCACGTAATTTACATTTCATAAGGATAAGTGATACTGAGAAGTTGGGAGAAGGAATATAATGAAATATACGTGGCTGTCTATGAACCTCTTTTTCATAAATTAAAATAATTACATTTTTACTACAGAAACTATGAACAATTCCCAACTCTCAAATTCTAATAACATTATAAATTTGTTAAATTTGCTTGTCTTAAAGAGCAATATGAAAGAAAGAGGAGTGCTCTTAAAATTATGGAGAAAGAATGCTTATGTGAGAAACTAAAGACAGGGAAAGCTGAGACCATGGGAAAATCAAAGAGGGTAGAATAATTTGTGACAAGAGAAGGCAGTAGGAAATGACAGGGTTGTGAATAGCTTGGAAGGAGGAGGACATGAAAGGCAGGAAGCTTTAACTTCCTTAACCTTGCATCATGATTTATTTTTTACTTTTCTATCCCATTAATAATTCCAGTCTCCCTCTTAGAGTTTATAGAGTCTCAGTTACAGAAAGGTAGTATTTGCCATTACTTTTTGTTAAATTTTCTATAATTTTCAGTCATTCATCATGCATATACAAGGSTTCCTGCTGTGTTTTTTTCTTCTTGGCAAGGATACTGTTCTCAGTTTAAACAGAAGTTGTCTGTTTTAAGTGTAATAGTAAAGCATTAAGTGAGGTTACAAAAAAGTTCTTTACTAGGGCTAAGTGGAGTGGGAATCTGTCTGATTTAAAATTTCCCTTGAATTTTATCTCATTTGGAAGGCTCAGTGACAGGTTTCACCAAGTACGGCCGTATTACCCTCCCAGGAGCTGCACAAGTGCTTRCTAGAAGGAACTTGCAGCATAACTAGATATAAAAAGGGGAAATGGAATGTTTCTTCTGGGTGGTGATTATCTCACTGGCTAGGATTGTGACCAAGCGCTGGGTGTGAGAAGCACTGAAAGGAGAGTTGAGACTGCACTCAACTCAAGAGAAGAGGCTTACTTTCTGTTAGCTGGACCTACAAGAAGGGATTTGGCTTATCCTGAGCATACAAGAATAATTTAGTTATGTCCTATTATTTATCAGTCAACACACAATGACAGAAATCCTGGCCAACCTTGTGTAGTATTTTCAATGTGAAAGGTGGCTAACCAATTCCTTAGAAGTCGCAGAATCAGCCCTTGAGCTGCTGACAGGGATGCTATATAGGAATACAATTGTATTATGTCTCTTATTCTTGTATATATAGATAGCTATGTTTGGCTTTTTAACTGAAGTTCACTTAAGCTGGCATCAAACATAGGTTTCCCAGGATGTACCTGCACAACATATAGCACCAGTTTGGCTTTAGGTACYCTTTTAAGTTAAAGAGTTTGCGATATTTTGTTTCAGCTCACCTTATATATTTGGGGATTAATTGAAGTTAAATTGGAATGTGGTATTCAAAAAGTAAAATAAGCATTCCTAAAGGGAAACCTTGCTGTGATTTAGCAACATCAGTTTAATAAACCCAATGAAATTCAGTATGTATTTATTTATATCATTAAATCCCATTTAATGCACAAGTTAAGATAGGCTATAATTGGAGCTTTATTAAATTTGGCATAGTGGATTTGCATTGTGTAATTGTTCTAAGGAAAGCTTTATAAGTAAACAYCCCCCCACCTTACTTCCTAAAATAAAAATCTGAATCTAGCTGAAAARCTTTGCTGGTGACACAGGATGGTAAATGACTGCTTTTGAAATTATTTATTTTGCTTGAAATTAGTCTACGTTTAATAAGCACTCTGCAGAAAAAGCACTGATACCAAAGGCAGAAGCTGACAAGCAGTGGAACATTGTGTATTTGCAAGCATTAGCAAATGACTTATTTTACACCTCGTTGTTATCCTCATGACCATGAAGTTTTGTTTTGCTTTGTTTTTGTAGTTGATAATTGAAGAATTGATGTTCTGCTTCTTCAATAGCTCCTTCACATCCTTTCTCCATCCTCACTTTGGTGGAAATAGCAACAGAGGATTTCCAGCTGACAGTGTATTGATTGAAAACCGTCGGGGGCTAAAATTTACAAAACTCATTTCCTAAATCTAAACTCGGCATACAATTAAATGCCTTGGTTTCTGGAAATGATGAGAACCATTCTGGCTTAAAATACGCTGTTAGCTCCGGAGAGTAGAAATGCGTCCTCTTTGGCTGTCTGTCCAGAGGCTTTCGGCATGGGTCCCTCTTTGGGATCTTTGGAGTGCTTTTGTGATATAAATGAGAAATTATTACTTTAGGAGTTAGTGAGAACATCACAGTACCTTCACTTTTTAGCTAGAGCTTGGACATGTCTTTGCAGCACCATATCTTTAAGCAGTCATTAGAGCTGGACCTCATTAGGACAGGAAGTACCCACTGTTGTCCTGTGTAGAAGTTTGAGAGGAACTTAAGGAAGTTAATCCTCAGAGGGGCAGAGGCTGCGTTGTCTTCACAGGACCTTTTTGGCATAGGTGCAGGCTTACTGAGCTAGAGATATGCTGGAGATGGAGCTTATCTCCTCTGGTATGAGCTGTTGCTATCTTTGGGACATCCACAGCTCTTACGGCGCGAGCCTTCATAGCCTATTCCTGGGTCAGGCGGTGACCGTTCCCCACTATTTTACGAGTGAGGTAACCGCGAGGTTGTGTAAGGTCATCTCAGGCAGAGCTGTGAATAGAACCCAGGGAGTTTCATACACCACTGCCAAGTCTCAGTCACTTAGCCACAGAGCCTTCCAGGATGAATTTGAGAAGTCTGTGTTTGTCTGTCGGTAACCACTGCGGTGGCCACCAGCTCTCGCTGCACTCCCAGGGCCGGGACCGGACCCCCCGAGCCCCTCTTGTCCCCTAGCTAGTTGCACGACTTGCAGCAGTTTGAGCCCTGCTCCTCTGCAAGGGCTGATCCGCTTACAGGATAACAGCCTTCTTACGTTACCAATTTCATTCTTTAATTTAGGAGGAAGAGATCTGAATACACTTGCCCACGCTTGGGGAGAAAAAAATAGTACCTGATCATATAATTAAAGACTGGATCATAACTCAGTTACTCAAGGAAGCAGAGTTGTGATTGGCATTTCCTAACTTTTGAGTGCCTGATTTAGCAGCCTTGATGTGCTTTTAACACATTCAGATTTGTATCTTCTATTTCTATCTACCTTTGCATGCAGGATCTTCTCCAACTGTGAAGATCCTAGAGAAACTGTAATTTGTGAGGTTTTTCTACAAGTGTATTTAGATATTTTCCTTAAAGTATTTATTCATCACAATGGAGCAGCCATATAAGAACATACTAGGCCAGTACCCTTCACTGTCCTAGGAAGACAGTAAAGTATGAGCAATTTTACTTGTTTGTCACCATTGCGGTGCTACTGGGACCTTCAGAAGGGCTGGAACATGATTTGGGTTTGGGTTTGGGCTACTGGGACCTTCAGAAGGCTGGAACATGATTAAATCATTAAGCAAAAATAATGTCAGGATCTGCAGGAAATCAGGAAGAGCTACTCACTTAGAAATCACCTAACATACTTATCTGAACTTTGAAGGCTGGTGCTGAAGTCCCTGACCGTCTCACATCATGGGTTAGTGAGAGTGGCTTTATGGGGGTGGCCAAAACACACATGYGTACATTTTTTCCTCCTTTTTGGTTTTGACCAGAATCTTGACTCRATCGCAGATGCAGCAACATTCTTATTTTAGCATCTTTTTAACAAAATTGGTTTTGTTCATTTATAAATTCAGTTTAGGAGTGATGGAGAAGGAAGGCAAAAAGGTGAGATGCAGTTTGTATTTGGTGTAGAAGCAGCCTGCTTATTTTCAGGTTTGTGAGGCATAAAAAAGCTACTGACAGTTAGAGAAAGAGTCCTTGATTGTATCAATGATGACTTRTTCCAGTCTCAGAATTTATTAAATATTGGCAAAATATTTAGATGAGAAAAGCAAATAACAGATAATTTTCTGGATTCTGTTGTCCAGTGAAGAAATGCAGAATAGAAAAGAACAAATACAAGTAGATAAGCAGATAATTGGGAGGATCTTTTGATCTTCAGAATTGACATTTCATTGACATTGCCATCTCAGGTATTTTCACTGTTTCTAGTTTTCTGAATCACATTTTTAAGGCTAGAAGCCACCGTGATTTAGTCTGACTTCCTGCATAACTCCCAGCCTTTAAGGGCAACATTGATTCTTTTGGAAGAACATGCAGAAGGCTAAAGTTTTCTGAAAATATCCTCGAAAGTGTCTTGGGAGATGAGTGATTGCTGCCATTTCCCTCTCTGTGAAACCTAAGCATGTACTTAATTTTGCCAAATGATTTTTTTTTTTTTTTTTTTTGATTGCTGCCATTTCCCTCTCTGTGAAACCTAAGCATGTACTTAATTTTGCCAAATGATTTTTTTTTTTTTTTGTCATTGCTGTGTTTCTTATTTGGACAAAACTGAAATACATACTGACCTGAAGAAGTAATTTATTTCACTGGAAGCTGTGAGGAAAGTTTTTGTTTATTCTGTGGGAAACAAGCTTGCAGTTAAAGATTTCCATTTTGTGGACTAAATAGTTAAGCTGAGAATTTCAGAAGAGCCTAAGAGAATTAGGAACTCAAAAAAATTTCAAGCCGACAAAGTCCCCAGCTTATCTGATGTGCAGAACATCATACGATTCAAATAAGTCTTAAACTAGCAAAACTAAAAAAAACCCTAGCAGCTGTTCAATAGATGCTAGGGCAGGCCCATTATAAAATGTACTATGGTATGCCACAATGGTTAGGATACCAGTATGTTCTAATTTTAGTACCATTGACTCAGTCACTGGAGTTCAGAAAATAAGCTGGGAACATCTGCTTATTGAAAGGATTTCCTCTCTAATACTTTCTTTCTCTATTTGATCTTTTTTAAAGTATTCCCAAGCTTTTGATTTTTTTTTAATTGGTTCTTTTTTTGAAGGTAATAAAATATATTTTTCAATATCCTGATACAGCTTTAACTTCTTTTTATTACTAATAGATGATTCAGGAGGAAAAAAAGCTAATTTTCCTTCAAAATTTCTTGGGGTTACTTTTGCCTTGTTTCTATTAAGTTAAAATCATCAAATGTCCCTTCTTACTGGTCCTGTACCAAGGGTTGTACTGCTGGAATTGTCAAAACAAATATCAGCTTAACTGCTGTCCACGACTCAGGTCCAGTATCGCTGTCAGAATATTTAACAAGTATTCAGCCAAATATTTGTAGAGCAGCTGTGCTCCCAGTCCAACTGAGTCTTATTCCGTCCTTCCTTTTAGCCCTGCTATATGATTCATCTTTCTTCTTTTAGCATATTCGTCTATTTTTAAATATTGTACAAGAAAACAACAGCAACTTAAAGATAAACACTTTCATATCATGATGATAYAACTCTGTATAATTACAACAGTTTATTTTCCAGAAGGGAAATATTTGGGACAAGGTATAGAAAAAAAAGTATGTGAGTGAGGGATAATAATAATTGTTAGTTTTGGGGCAAGAATCCTGCCCCAAAAGACATAGTACTTCACTTTGGTTTCTGCAGAAGTTCGTTGTTTCGCTTTTGCCTCTACCTCCCTGTATCTTTTTCTTCTCCAAGAATCCCTTCCTAAGACTTTTGGTTTGCATTGATTTTCACAACAACATACAGACTGAGCCTGAGGATAGCTTTTTTCCCTGGTGCCCAACTAGTTGAGATAATGTTTGGACTGTAAATTAGCTAGTATGTTTGCTYATGGTAGTACAAGATGGCTTATTTCAGTTTTTCCCCCAGCCTAATTTTCTGTGTGACCACTGGTGGCAGGGTAAAGAGAGAAAATACATCTGAGCCGTAACGTAGATCCCAGTCTCATTAAGAATATGAGGGATACTGCTTTGACATATGGTTCTTTTAGTCTTTTTGGGACTTTGTTGTAGTGTACAAGTCCAACAGCACAGGGTAGTTTGCAGGATGTGACATACGTTATCAGTTTTCTCCTGTGAGAGACATCCCTGTTTAATTTTGGCCCATTACAAATAATTGACTGCGTAAGCTAGCTCATAGTAACCTTCTCTTTACCTCCCATAACCTGTAGTAAGATACGTCAGCAGTCATCACAATCCAATGCAAAACTGATAGCGTGAAAGTCACTGAGTAAGAARTATTGCGGTGGCCGGTTGTGACGCTACCAAGCATGATTCATATTTCTGATCCCCGTCCAACTGCTAGTGGGCAGGTGTCCACATCACAACGCTGACGTAACTGGCACACTCTGTCCCACCTTGCTGGGGAATGGAAGCCTGTGCTAAAAATAAAAAAATAAAATAAAAGCACAGTTTGGTGGATTGTCACAAATGAAATGAGCCTGTCACGTACGGAGAGTTATCTACAGGTCATAGTAAAGACATTTCTTTACAGCATGAAGTGGTTTATGGTGTTTCACCATTCTAAACGTGTCTGTTTAGGCAACAGGCTTCAAGTTCCAGCTTTGCCAGTCTGTTTTTTTGCGGTTGCCTGTGAAAGGTGGGGAAAAGCATTTATGTTATTGCTGTTTTAACCCCACTAAGCCACTGTACTGTGATGGGGCTTTTCCCTTTGATTGAAGTCATGACCTCTGTGACAGCAGGATGCTGTCTGTCCAAGTTGCTTTAATTCTTTGTACTGWATAGACAGCTCAACAAGAAAGACTGTTTGAATTTGCTGTTTTGTTTTGTTTTGCTTTGTTTTATTTTATTTTTCACATTGTCACATGCTGTATTCCTGTAACTGGTTTTGTTTTGCTTCTTAATCACCACAGTACAAAGTAGAGTTTCTGACTTTTTAACACTTAAACATTTTCTTATTTCTAAGGAGTTTATTAAAGTATCTGAAGTGTAGAAAAGTAGGCATAATGCAAAGGTATTTGARGGATCCTGATACTATAATGGATGTGTTGAATGTACAGCTACATGAACAGATAATTTGAAATGCCTTTTTTTTTAGTAGATATTAGCTTCTAAATTCATGTTTACCTTTTAGATGATGCTTCTCCTGAAAATGACCTCTCTTTGGCTTTTCCAGAGCTAGATCAGCAGCTGCAGGTAAACTTGTTTATTTGTGTGTATGTATTTATTAATTTTTAATTACCCTTCTACTTCATGTTAATTACATTTGTTGTATTAGAAAAATCTGAATGTTAAATTGAGATAGGATTTTCAGTATTACTTCTTTAAATTGTTGACATTTCTTGAGACTTCACATTCCAATATGAGGAAACAACTTTCTTTCAAGAGCTGCAGAACAATCATTTGACATTTTTAATCCAATTGCAGAAAATTATGGCTATTTTTAAAGACTCACATGCTTTTTAAAAATTATTTTTTATAATTACTATGCAAAACCTGGCCAGGAACAATTGCCATACAATGAACAGTTCCTGTTCRCTTTCAATGGGAGAAGGTATGAGCCAGGCATACTATGCTAACACCTGCAGGTTRTGTGAAGATCAGTACGATAACCTTCCTCTGAAGCATTCCAAGAGAGTGTAGAGGTATATTTTGCGGTGACATCTTATCTCTCATCTTGCTTAATCTCCACTGTAAATAATAACATCCTCAGAGCTACTTTAGTTTACTCTGCATAACCAGCAACCCGAGTGGTTTCAGGGCAGAAGAGGTGAATGCTTTTGTGACCAGGCTGCTGTGTGATGCTGGAGCAGCAAGATGAAGCCCTGGTGCATTGCTCAGTGAGACGTCAGTCTGTGGAAACTCTGTGGTTCAGCGGGCTCAGAGCCAGGCCTGTATCCAGGGATTATTTCCCTTTCCTCTGTGGCCATACTGGAGTGTTTGTTGGCCATTGCARGGTACTTCAGATCATCTGTGTCCCAGGAGCATTTAGACTTCCTCTGATATTTCAATATGCAGCCAGTTGTTTCCTGAGTGTAAAGTGAGAATGGCATTAGCAGACCATGTTGTCCAGTGATGTCACCCTTCCTGTCCCCATCAACTAGMGAGACAATACAGGAGTGCTGCTGATCTAAAGGACTTTATTTTCTCTCCTGTTGCTCTCATCAAAAGGAGAAGGAGAAGGAATTGAGAAGGGCAGAGACTCGTTCTCTCCCTCAAATTCTGAGAATAGAGGCAGATTCCTTCACTGGGCATAGCTGGGCAAGATTAAACGGGAGAACAGCTAATTCAGATCTGCACTGAGGGAAGAGGGAAGTACATTTGGTTTATAGTTGGTCTTGATGGTCCTAAAGGACTTTTCCAACCATAATGATTCTGTGTTCGTCTCTTCGTTCTGCTGACCTTCCAGCACAGCAAAGGACAATTGGTATWTTCTCCCTCAGCAGAAATAAATGTGAGAACAGCAATACTGTTTCGTGGCTGAAGTGCTGAACTGAAATTCAAGAAACTGCATTATTTTTCTCACTCTGTCAGTGACAGATTGTGTGATCCTGGAGAAGTTGCTGCATCTCTGTCTGTGCGATGAGGTTAATATTTTCTATCTTCTCTGTTAAAGAACATGGAGATCTGTGGGTGATGAGGGCTCTGAAAGAGCAAAGCATGATTATCATTACTACTACACTGGTATGKAAAAACAAAATTACCAGTGTTAGATGTCGATATTTTACAGGCAAAATGATGATTTCTATTAAGACTTTTACAACCCATTTCTGGAATATATAATGTACTCTGTAAATGTGTACTTTCATGATAGATTGAAATTTTTGCCCTGGAAGCATTCAAGTCCTTTGGATAAATAATAGCCCTTCAGTAAGAGTTTAAGTGCACACAGAGCAATTCCACTAAGTACACTCTTTTGATCTGTTAAGTACTTAGCATTTTTTCAAGAGAAGCCTAAATCTTTCCATTACCTTCATGATCTCAAGATGACAATAAATTCAAAGAAACAATGAAAGATTTTGACTTAGATAATACTCTTTTTATTATCCTTCAGAAACTTTCTTTTTCGCAGTGAGTTCAAAGGATAACTTATGAGACGGATCTGGCTGAGTCAGCCACTCTGAAGTCAGTGTTAGTCCTTTAGCTTTTCAAGCTTATATGTTCATTTATATTTTGATGCCTTTATGCTCAAGCTGAGGTAGTTGTATCAACACAAGGTTCTGAATTGATGCTGTGATAGCAGGGTTTTCTGCCTTAGCAGTAAATACTTGAATTTCTCTGCTTTTGTTAGTCTGGATCACACCTTAAAAGTTATAACTGTTTAATATTATTGCATCATATGTAAACTGCTTTAATGTTTCAAACACCCAACAGCTGCAACAAAGTTATAATTTACCTAGTTGCATTTTCTTATTATTTACATTATTGTTTGTTTTGTTTTATTTTAATTACTGTGATCCAAACTGGTAATGCTATGTCAGGTCTGTATCGCATGTGGTTGCAATTTATGTTAATGTAACCAACCAGTCTTGAAACGATCTAGCTCCCATATTAAATAGATATTTAACTGTAACCACATGGACTTTAGCAGGACCTGTCTAAGTATTGAATGGTGGAGTCCGTTGTCATTCCATCCACGCTTTTCTCTACCCTAAAGTTAGCCAGTATAAAGCAGCACACATGAGGTTGCATGTAAATGTGCCCTTTAATCAGCTGTGGCACAGCAGTTTGAAATGCTGGAATTTGTGAGAGTGCTGGTACATACTTTCATAATAAAAATATCACAGCTAGACCCACAAGATTTTCATCACCATGCCGTAAATACAATCAAAGGCATTAGTATTTTATTTAAAGAAGTAACTATAAATGCCTGGTAGGTGGCTATATAATAGTATGCACTTAAAAAAATGTGGTAACTTGCCAGCGCTCCAACATACAGAGGAAGATTTCAAAACTTGTAAGAATGAAGAGCCCAAATTAGTTGATCTTTGGGATGGATTTTGAAAGTGGCTTGAAAGATATGTAAGCTCGTAGAATGACTTGGAAAATGGGAGCCTTAGAATCTTATGCATGCAGGCAGCAGACCACAGCCTGAGTCTCAAGCAATTTGCACCTCTGTTTTGGGCTTCAAGCCCTTGTCCTTCTATGTTAGGCCCTGGCAGACAACTTGGCTGTTTGAGCAGCGTTACCTAGTGTTCCCAGTTTTCCTACTACGAGCCTACCATGCCTGCTCCCTAGGCACTGGTATCCAATGGCAGGGCGAAAGTTCACTGCAGCCTCCCCCTGCCTGGGTCGTGAAACCTGCTCTCAAGGCACTGATGCCAACTTTGCAGGCTTAGAGGTGGAACTAGCTTGAGAGAAGGTATTTCTGGAAGACTAATTGCAAATACGTAATGCTCTAAAACCGCTCTTGCTAGAAGACAATCCTAACAGCAGAAAGCTAGAGCTTCCTTCCGAAGAATAAAAATGATCAGTCCAGCGTTCTGATCTACTGTGTGGATTACTACGCTSAGATTGAAAATGTTACCTTCTCAATGCTATTTTTAGGGGAAGATATTCTGGCAAATAATTTGTAAGAAAATAACATCTCTAACTCATTTTTTTAATTTTATCTTATTTTTAAGAAATAGTATGTAGAGCCACCTCAGAGAGAATCCCTATACATTAGAATAAAAGAAATTAAACTATGTACAATAAAAGCCTAGTCTCTTTTGCAGAGAGATCTCTCAGGATTAATAAAAATAATGCAGCTCCTAAGATGCCCAAGTAAAACTAAGATCATATTAATACAATCATTTCTTCTGATTTCTTTCATTTTCAATCTTTTCTTTCTATTTTTTTTTTTAATTTTCCCACTGAGGAGCAGCACTTTGAATGAGGATAAAGCACTTGCTTTTTTGAGTTTCAGTGTTTTTTTTCCTCCCCTTTGCGTAGCTAATGAAGTCAAAAGTGCAGAGCAGTGCCCACGCTCACTATGTCTGTCAGTTTGTTATTGGGAAAAGTTAACCTTTGCCCCATGTAAAAGTTGGCCTTGGCCTTGGCAGGAACCTCTTTGATTAGCTGCCACTTGGGTAGTGGCCTCCCTGACAGACAGTCTACTCGTGGTTATTTGCTATATTTAGACACTACATCAGCATCTCAGGCCTTGTTGTTTAGGTCACTGAATATAGATGAAGGTATCCCGTGTTAAATGCCTACATTATTTAGTCCTGTGTTTTGTCTCTCCTGTTCCAACATTTCCTGTGATTTGCTCAGTTCTCTCTCTATTTCCTATGAAACTCTTTATTCCAGCTGAGAATTTCAGACTGAATAAGAAAGAACTCATATACAGCACAGGAAGTCTTATAACTCCGTGCCACCTTATTGCATGAAATCATGAGCTTGATAGAGGCATTTATATCATATTTGGTGCTATAAATCTTCCGAAATCAATGGAGTTAGATGACCATAAAATTGCTGCAAGAAAGAAGGTGCTCCGGTCATTTATCATATCATTTTATTAAGTCAAGGGAATGTTTTTCATGCTTCAGTTGGAAATCTCTATACAAAAAAAGCAATGAAGATATTTTATGTTATGAAAGGGCCAGTTTGTTATATGTGACACGTACATTTAACAGAAACCTTGTTTACTCTAGAATTTGAATAATGGAAATCTCACTTTTGCTGTCAATAACCTCTCTAGAGACATACAGATAATTTTAGAAAGCTAAAAAAATATATACTGTATTTTATAATATGTGGTATTTTTGAAAATGTATTGAATTCTAAGAGAATTTCCRAAGTGTCTTGGTAGCCTGGAATTAGGTTGCATGGCCTATGCACTTGATAAGACTACTTTAATATTACTGTGATTACTATAATGTTATTTTAGGTTATGTAAATCCTACCTATTGACAGATTAAGAGCACCATACTAAGATTAGAAAAAGAATGGAAGATCTCTCATAAAGAAGACGAAAATTGCCAATTTCTTCCATCTGCTGCTTTGAAATATTTGGAGGGAAGAGAGATGATTAGATGATTATTTTTGTAATAAACTTCAGAAATAGATTACAGATCTCCTAGACTAGATATGTGAGATTAGCTGATGGTTTGCAGTTGCTCAACAAGACCTGGTTGCAATGTGTAGTTATCATTTTTGCGTGGTATAGTTTGGTTGTTCTCATGGTGGAGGAGTACACAAGGTCATATAATTAACACGGGCATGTGCAAAGCATTGCCAATGGACTTTGTTTACCTGCAAATAATCAAGTCTACAGAAAGTGAGGTAGCACTTAATTAGACCAATGCTGACGATTGTCCTCTAGATGGGTCCACATGTTCAGCTGCCAAAAATGCATGACACAGTATTTTTCTGTAAACCTTAATTTTTTTTCACACTTTGATTTTTTTGTTTCAAAGAGCCTAGAAACAAAAAGTAAATGTGAACAACCCCAGTACATTAAAAAACAGAGTGTTTATATGTTTTTGGACACTCAGGTAATTCTATTGACTACACAGAACTTASTAGTGCAGCTGTGAACATGTGTGGGTACAGAATGCTGATATTAAGATGTGAAGGTAAAAAAAAAAAAAGGGCAAAATACACTTTGTCATGCCAGTGAAGTGAATAAAGAGACTGAAAAAAAAAAAACCAAAAAAGATATCTGCTAGATTTTAATTAGAACAGTTCCTTCAACCTGTCTTAAAAACCAGGTAAGCTCAGACTCTCTTATTCTCTACAAAATGTCTTTTCATAGCGTCTTTTCCACTTCTTTCTTTACTGATTCCAAATAAAATTTTAAACAAGTAGTGTGTGTGTCTCATATGCATATATGTACTTATATGTATGTACTCATATGCATATATATATATATATATATGCACTTTTGCAGTTGCAGAAGACTGTAACAGTGGTTTCTTAGTATCTAGACTCTGGAAAAAAGATTGTCAAAATGTGCATTATTTGGTAAACTACAGAAATTTTTTTCCCATGCTGAAAATAAGGGAAAACAGGATAAACCAGTAGTATCAGTAAAAGCTTTTGTAATAGCTTGGTGAAGAAAATCAGAGATGCTGCACACACGTTTTGCCAGTACAGGAAAATGAGGGTGGATGACACTGAAGCCTGAAATAAGCAGGATTAAAAGTAGCAACTGTTGCCATTAAATATAACTTTCTTTGGCGGGGCTTTTTGCTTATGTAGCGAGTATGCTTTTATATATATATTAATTTTTGGATGGGTGAGATGTGTCATGAAGTAGCAAGCCGGGGTGGTACTGAGGAGAAATTGTATTTGTTAGATTCTGAGTGAAAAATTACAAACTGAAAGCAGACATTTATTCAGGTATATTCAAATTAGTTGCCTATGTAAAATCTTTCTGAAAAACAGAAGACAGGCTTCATCCATGAAAATCACTCTGCCTGGGAATTCCATTTCTTTTTTTCTGCCAGAGGTGAGTTGCCAAAGGAATGCTACTATGCCAAATGAATGCCAAAGGAATGCGAAAGGAATGGGAATGCTACCCATGTAGCATCTATAATACTATGTAAGACTTGGTCATAGGCATTCAAAAAAGATATCGAAGCTGGAATAGGGGACAGAACCAGACAGATAGAATAGTCTAGAGAGAGTGGAAATGTCACCTAGGAGAGATGAGAGGAATGTAGCTTGGTTGACCTACCAAGATGTAGACTTGAGAATTATATAATACATCGCAGAGGTAAAACAGTCAGGATAGAGAAGAGCTATTTAAATTAAGGATGATGCTGGCACAGGAAAGACATGTACAAACTTGTCTTCAATAAAATCTAAGTGGAAATTGGGATTTCTAGTCCTTGGTGAGGATTTGAAACAGTTTTCTGACTGGGTCAGGGGACTTAAATTGTTCTAARGTAGAACTTAATAAGCCCATGAATCCAAGGATTTGCCTGTGATAGCAAGATTCAAGGGTTTTGTAGACTCCTCCCAACTCTATTTAGATGAGTAATTATTACTGTTCTGTTATTCTCTCTTTTGTGAAAATAACACTGTAAATATCTGCTGACTAGCTAGGGTTACTGCTTCGAAACAAGAGAGTTTTGTCTTTGTTTCTGCATATGTTTTTTAAGGAGTTTTACCCTACATCTTCTGAAAATGCTTCTCCAGATGAGGACAGATGTGTCATTAATTTTTTGTACTCTTGCTTATCTCAAAAAGTAGGCTGGAAGACATGGGTAAAATAATTTGTCTGTGCTTATGTGTTGCTTTATATTTTCTGTTTGGCAGAAGAAAATTGAGTATTTTATCTCCACATTTTTCTTGCCGTTATAATTGAGCAATCTGTTACATAAGGAACACATAAGCTTTTGCTTCATGCACTGGGGGGCAAATACTACTTATCTGAGTATTATCTGCAAAAACCTCTGATAGAAATTTCAAGCTTTCAAGAAAGCAAACCGAAATGATCAGTCATCTGTTCCCAATAAATCAGAATCAAATTTACATTTTAAAGTAAAAATGTAACGTTAACTTTTACATGGTAAACAGGAAGCTTTACAGAGTGAAAAACGTTCTCGATTTAGCACTTGATAGCATCACTCAAGACTGAAACAAAATTATATGAAAAGAATATTAGTAAATGACTGTTTCTTGTTGCAAGTTCATTTTGAGAGAAAACCTTAAAATACTAATGTAAGAAAAAATGACACTGAAGAGGAAACAATGAGAGGAAGGGGTTTGAAAGTCAGCAACTGGTTCTAAGTGGGAATTAGATACTAAGTCTCAGCATGACTGGATAATTTTTAGCTCTCTAAATATAACTTTTGAGTGGGAAGATGGAATATAGAAACTGAATGCTGCTTTAATTTTTACAATGGTTTAAAACAGCTAGATTTGCATAAACTAAGTTGGAAGCAAAACCAATTATTTTCTCTTTGAAAGGATCACTGTTTAGGGACTTTCCCCCTGGATACTGTTCAAAATTGTTTTACTGTGATGCRTTTGTTGTTTGCTGATCTCTGGTAGATACCAGAGCTACTTTGGCTCACCCTTGCATTCTCGGATTAGAGCACTGAGACTTCTTCTATATTCTGTCCTGTTAAATTTATGCTTATTATTTGGGTGACTATATGGATGGTGCTATTGCTCATCCCATTGAAATACAACTAATATTCCTTTGCTAGGAATCAGCTTCACCAAGTAACGGACAGCTCTTTCCCTGAGGTTATCCAGAGCTGTTCCATAAAGCAATTCTGTCAGCATTTTTAAATTCAAAACTTGGAAAATGAGTGTCTATTTCAATTTATCCATGAGGAACTATGTACCATATGCAAGTATTTGCAAAGCTCCATATACTAGCTACATCTGCTTATTGATGCCCTGCCCATGGGATAAATCCTTGTCTCTGAATATGTTTAGTGAAATTTAAATTCACTGAAACAGAGGGTTGCAAGTTCAGAAACAGGAAATGTCCAAGACCTTGTGCTTTTTTTTTCTTTTTCTACCAGTATCATTGCAGTATTATACTATAAATATGAGTCAAAGTAGGACAACAAGAAGAAATTGTTCACTTGTATCATGAAAAGCAAATGGATGTTCTTTAACTGGGCAGTAAAGCAACTATTTTAAGTGCTTCCTTTTGCTTCAGACAGATGGCTCAAGCATGTTATTTGGAATTCATTTACAGTCAATTGATTCACAGCTAATCATTTAAAAATACTATACTTCCTGAAGGTGTTATGGCCAAAATGTGGCAGTCGGATATTAAGCCTAAATTAAGTTACATTCTTCTTAAGGAACAAAAAACACACTGACAATTAACCAGACTATCTTTTCAAGATCTTAGCTGTAGAGGAATGGGGAATTCCAAGGCAGAGTGGCTTCTTTGACATATTTATTACCTTCAGTGTGCATTAAAAGATATATATCCTTTCTACTCTGATGTAGATAGTCAAGTCACTCCCTTTGTGGTTTTTTTTTTAATTACTGTTGTTTTCTTTCTACTATTAACTCTCATTTGCACATCTCATGGAAAATCAAAACACTGGGCAAATGCAACATTTAACTCTCATATCATTTGTCTTAACTAAGTATGTTGGATTGTGGCATTCCAACAATTGAACCTGTCATGAAATCTTGACTTCACTGGAGTCAGCAGTACCACTTCTGTTGAGTCCAGCAGGATCAGCATCCCATCCTCAGTCTTCAAATTCATGTGCTGTCCCATTTGGTATTAAGCTGAGAAAAGCATTTTGTCTGTGAAAAAAAAAAGCATAGTCAATAGCTTTCCATATCTTTCCTTCTCATCTTGCACAACTGGAAAATAAGAGCTTGTTTGCACTCAAATTACCATTCTGCTTAGTGGTATAGCTTTTACAGTGAGAATATGCTCTTACATTTTATGTTACAGTGTAGATGTGGATATGACCAGTGAACCAACCTTAACATTTTTATAAGAGAGAAAGAGCAGGGTAAGGGAGAAATCTTCTATTGAACAATCTTTCAGGTATACTTGAGGATACAAGGTTATAAGGAAAGTTCTGAAAAAACTAATAAGTTTTGAAGGTTAATGCATATTCTTATACATAAAAGTGTTTATCTCTTCTGTGAAAGGCTGTTACTCGGACTGTTAGGCTAGATGCTGCAATGAGAGTTAAAAAGAATTTTCTCTAAGTCATCATCACAGAACTGATGCATTTATTCTAATATGTCATTCAAAAGCAGTATTTATTCTTTTCTTCTTCTGTTTGTAAAGCCTCTGCCTCCTTGTCATGACTCTAAAGAATCTATGCAAGTCTACAAACAGCACTGCAAAATAGCAGAAGAGTACCATGAAGTCAAGAAAGAAATTGCCCTGCTGGAAGAAAGAAAGTAAGTAACTTCAAAGCATTTCCTGTTGCATATTCTCTTTGTAAAGCCCAGTCTAAAGTTGTGTATTTCAGATGATAGTTTCTGAAGATATTGCTGTGCCTGACAGTCACAACTAGGCCATCAGTTCTTAGGCTATACTGGGAACTAAGGATTTTCCTAGCTCTAGGCCCTCCTTTATCCATCTCTCTTTTCTAAAACTTTCATTGATAACCTCTAGGACACGTGTATCTTTGTTACACAGAAATCTAGTTCAGCTGGTGCAAGCCCATTTTTTAGTTTTAAGGACTTTTTTTAGTTTTAAGGATTTTCAACTTAACCTCATGTGTTTTAATGAAAAATGCATGAATCATTTCATGCATCACTTTGGTTTAGATTACTTGACTTAAAATTAGTTAACAGCATTCTATATGCCTCTGTTTATACTCACAAACTGTGTAAGTAGGCGACTTTTTATTTGACTATGACCCAAACTCCTACTCCTTCCATTTTCATGCAGCTCTCAGACGGCAAAGTGCACTCARTGACTCCCTGTTCCTTTTCACAAAATAAAAACTGACAAAGCCATTCTCAGAGAGAGAGAGAGGGAGGACAGTGAATAGAGAATGTATTTACCAGACAACAAAGCCCAAGGAAGAGTTACAGCTAGGTAAATTCTCCTTCCCCTTCAGATGCTTTTCTGTTTTCACATTTGCACTGGGGTTGACTTCAAGCAATGTTGCCTTTCTACAGGAGAGTTGCCTCAGTGTGAACCTGTGGATTTTCTTGAGAAAGTAAAACCAAATATTGCATGAGTTTTCTGTGATGGTGCAGTACATAATGAAAGAGGGAATGAAACTGAATGAAGGAGGGGATGTATGGCCACAGAAGTCAGAGGAGCAGAGAGGATTCTGAGCGTAGGGAGGAATCACTGTAGCTGTTTCATAGTGGTCTCAGTACTGTGCAGTTTACTGACTGTGCAGTTCAGCTGGCTTGGCATCTGTGGGAGCCCTCAGCTGCAGAAGCACGGTGTGGGGGAAATTGCTGATATGCTATAGTCTTGGCAGTAAAGATAGCCAGGTATCTCCTTCAGTCCAAACTGCACAGGGTGGGAAAGTGAGACTTGTCTTTATTGGCGTTGATGACTATAGGCACAATATGGTAAGCCTTTGCCTAACATGTTGGAATTAGCTTGAGGATTTGCACTGCCAGATCCCCTTCCATTGCTGACACATTAGCGTAGAGGTGAACAAAAAAATAACCAAAAGAGATTGACGCTAAGTTCTTTCAGTATTTGCATGTGATATTTTGCTAATTAAACATGGCCAATTAAAATTAATTGGTGAATTTAAAGACCTGAATATAGAAGATAATTAAAATAAATTTATAATGATTTGTCAAACTAATTGTCTAAAGTAAGCTGCTTACATGTGTCTTTTGTAACTTCAGTGACTTCAGTAGGAAACATGCAAGCTTGACCTCCCTGAAWATCCAAACTGAATATAAAATTTTAACTGGTGATTTATGTGATTTGGTGTTTTATGTGAACTGGTGATTTAAGGCTGAGAGCGCCATGGGAGGACCTGTTTGGCTTGAAGAAGAGAGGGCTGAGGTGGGATCTGATCAGTGTGTATAAATACCTCAAGAAATGGAGTGAGGAGGATGGGGTGGCCTCTCTGGTGGTGGCCACTGATAGAAATAGAGGAAATGGCCACAAACTGAAGCACCAAAAGTTCCACAGGAACTTAAGGAAAAATTTCTTGACTGTGAGGGTGACAGAGTGCTGGCACAGGCTGCCCAGAGGTTGTGGAGTCTCCTTCTTTGGAGATCTTTAAAACCTGCTTGGATGCAGCCTTGTGCCGCGTGCTCTAGGTGACCCTGCGTGTACAGGGGGGTTGGACTAAGTGGTCTATAAATGTCGCTTCCAACCTTAAGGATTCTATGCTTCTATGTGCTTAGCTTTACATGTATAAACTCAAAAAAATAGCAGTAGGTTTTTTTTGGAGTGTATTAATATAACTGCATTGTTGTTATTGATATGCCTGAATTAGTTTTGCATATTTACAAATAAGTTTGAGGCTCTTGAAGGCTAGACATATACTTTTGCATCTACAAAAATGAAATTTTGTGTGCATTTTTGCATGCCTGTGCAGTCTATGGTGCTAGTCAAATTAGAAATATTTTGCTTTTTGAGTATGACAGATATATGCACAGAATTATTCACCTGAGCTCTAAGCTACCCTAATCAACCTCTGAAACCATGAACCTCTTAGCTGTGGTCATCCCGGATGAATTAAAAGGCCTCAAACTGACATTTATCTTGACTCCAAGAGTGTGTGTCAGCACTGGAACAATGTGAGGAAGTTTCCACTATTGCTATCTTTCATGAACCTATTCTGTGTGTATAATAGACTTCGCTACCCAGTAAACACATGCTAAAATAAGAGAGATCATTAACGGAGCAAATTCCCTTACTGTTTTTCTTATGGGCCCCGTAGTTACGTATTTGTGGCATAGATATGCTATGTGGCTGTGAAATGCCTAAACCTTAGGATGTCCAGCACCTTCCACCACTTCTAAGTTCCCTAATCTGAAGAAGTGATCCTACAAGTATTAGAATTAAGGATATTTAATATCCTGCAGATTGATGTGCCGTGATTATTTGATTTGGGGGTTGAAAAAGGTGCAAGTGTCAACTGAAGTTCTTTCTCTATCTGGGAACTATTTATGAAGTCCCTCTCCAGGTAGATTTTCCTGTGTGTTATATTTAGGGGGAGGTTCATAAAACTGCCTTTCCATCCTTCTTGGTGTCTTTCTTTTCCATAAGCATGTTTTCATAAAACCTATGAAAACTAAACTCTTTGTGAGACTGTGTCATTCTCATCAAGTTTTTTTTTTTTTTTTTTTTTTTAAGTTGGAAGGTGGATTCAATTCCTTTGGATATACACACATACACATGCGTGGTCTGAACACATTATCTTTGATTTTATATAATACTAAAAAGAAAGAGGATATGTGTGTGGTAGAGGAGGAGTCAGCAAGCTTTTTTTTTGTCTAGTGATCAATGACTTTTTTAATAAAAACATTCTCAACAATAGCAGTTTGAAAGTTAAAGGAAGTTTATGGTGTAGAGGTTGAGACTGGTTCATGATGGCTGCGACAATATGCATATTGAATATTCCATTCTCAGAAGAGGAGACATTTTGTCTTTTAGAAAAGAAATCTGACGAGATGCAGTTTTTAACCTCAAAAATAGATGTAATCAAATCTAGAAGGTGGAGTTGTTTGGAGCTTTCTGAAATTTGAGTAGATTAGGAACAGTTGCAAGTATATTGATCTTTACATTTGAATTTGAAGATATGGAGATCTGCGTTCACAGATGTCTAATACACTTGGTATCTATAACATTTTTAAAATTAAACGCAATAAAATGGACAAAGACAAAATTTTATTTCTTATAATGTGAATAAATAACAAGTTGTGCAGTGTTTTCCCATTTGCGTTTTATACCAAATGCAACAAGAAACGCTACTGGATGATTGTCCTCCCAGTTTTCTTAACTTTCTCYCAAGAGATCAACTCATTTGTGGAAGTCACATCCCACCTGTCAGTAGCTGCACCTGTGAAGTCTACTAGCAGAAAACTGTACTTGAAGTATTGATGATGATGATCAGGATCAAAGCAGAAAATGGATTGATCTAATATTTTGGCATTGATGGTTAGGAGAAATAATTCATTTAAGTTAATCTGATGTGAATGTTCTTAGTGGTGCTGGAATCTTTTAGTAAAAAAAAACCAAACACATCTGCTTCAAAGAAAATGTCTTTTTCCCAAATTCTGAAGTTCAAAAATAAAGATAAGGAAAAAGTCAAGAGAATTTATAAGAAAACTGGTTGGATTTTTTTGCTATTACAAGTGATCATAGCTCTCTTCGTTCTCTTCACTCAAACATTGCCCATTTATGCCAACAAAATGTGAAGCGAAGGACAAAATCAGTCTGGAATGGGAGACATGATAGAAAAGAAAGAAAAGGGTGTGGAAGTGAGAACACACCACATTTAGGTCACAGAATGTAATTTAATTTATGTTCCAGAAACACACATGTATTTCCATAACAGATGTTTTGGGGTATCTAAGTTTGGGTGAAAGGGATGGGATGGCTGTTTATTTTGAGCACTAGTTATATTGCTATTACTAGATAATGACCCTGGATTATGTAGTTAAATATTAGAGTTGCCATGGTTGCTAGCTATATCTTATATTCTTAGCTCGGGCTGGTTATCTCTTTTTCTCTCCCAGACAATTCTAATATAACTCTTCAGAAAATATAATTTGACTACCGCCTGATTTAGGATCACTCCTTTTCTTGTCATAGATGTGATTTATTTTCCTTCATTTGCACATATTACCATTGACATGCTTGGAGATGTCTCTTTCATTTATGGGGCCATTCCTTATGCTTTAGAATGCTTTGATGATCCTAGGAGTATTTCCAAGGCCCCAAATCCAAGTGGTTTCTCCAGGCACATTGTGTCTAGACCATCTCTCCCAACACTGTCGAGGCAAGTAGTCTTCTGACTTCCAGATACTTTAGAAAAAACAGAAAAAAAGAAAAAAAAAGGTATAAATATAAACCATGAAGACAACATCTTTATCTTACTAATATTTCTAGACTTGATTTCTCATCAATTTGCACATATCCAAAATACATATTACCTGCCAAAGTCATTGGAAATTAAAACTTTCCCAATCAAAGAAAAGACTCTACCTGCCTGCCAAACTTTCCTTTTATGTGCTGGTATCTGAGAAAGGGTGTCATTATGTTAAAACTGTCATTTACATTAAAATAGAATTTCCCATTGTTTTAAAAATAAGTTACTAGACYTTGAACATGCAAAGGCAGTCTTCCCAGTCAGCAGCCAGCTCGCTGGGCTCTCCTATTCCTTCTATGAAAGCTATGCCAGATACAGAATAAGGAATTTACCTTATGRCATTATTGTACTTGAAGGTACAACTGTACCTTCAGAACTGTATGGCAGCACAGATGCAGGATCCTGAATACATCCACAACTGGAGAAGCACAAAACAGCCTCTGGACTCTATCTCCAAATAGACTTACCTCCAGAAACTCTAATCTGCTCCATTTGTTAGCAGAGATGAGCTAGTAAAAATAACTTGTCTTGGTATTTATTCATTAAGTGTATTGCTATAAGGTTGCCCAGTGTCCACGCAGGTAGTCATTAAGGACAGGAAAAGTAATTTCTAACTAAGACAATGCCTTTTTTTTTTTTTCCTTCCTGCTATGGTGTGGCTTGTGTTTTTTTGTTTATGATGCAAATCACCCTGCCCTTCTCTTCTCACCCCACTTTATCTCTGAAAAACGGCGCTGAGAGTATACATTACAGGTTGTCTCAAAGCTTCCAGCATGTTGGCACAGAGTAGAAAAGACTCTGTGGATGCTGTTAATGTTTCAACACAGGGTAGTCATTAACAGAAAACATGGATTACACAGCGCCAGGCCCATTTATTAAGCATCCATAACAAAGTCTAGATGGTGCAAGAGCTTAGTGGGATGTTCTTTAACCTCTGAGGGCTAGTTCAAATCCTAGATGAGATCAGGAGCAAATGTTAGTTAGTGTCCTCATCATTTTGTGAGCTTCGTAAACCACACCATTCATAACATTTAGCAATTCCCTGGTACTCTAATTTTAGATCTSCGTGGCAGGCTGGCAGTATTTGCTTGAAACATCACCCTCCCCTGTAAACAGGTGTTGATACTGATGGGAAGGGAATAAGTAGGTTCTGCTGACTCAGAAGTGGGCAATTTTACTACCTCAGTTCAAGGAAGCTGCTTTCTGGGAGAGAGGTTCTCCAGAAACCGGCATACTTTGATCTTAGTCCATTTGTAGCTTGTTTAATAGGAAAGCCAAAATCTCTGGGAAAAAAATAATAAAAAAAAAAAGTGCTGCATGACTTTTCCCGCAAAGCAGCATGGGAGCCAGACTTGGAAACAAACAGCTCTTATCAAATCCAGATTGACATTCATTAGCAGAGCTGTTTGTTTTTACACACTGTCTGCTAGTGCCAGTCCTGGCTCGTTTCCAGTAGAAGTACTTGGTACTTTCTTTTGCATATACTGAAAACGGAAAAGGTTTTACCTGCTTTGAAGATACTGATTACTTATTAGTGTGTTCACTGCACCTCCCTTAAGACTTTGATAAGCATAAAAAAACTAAGGAGGAATGTATCTGATTTTTTTTTTTTTTTTTNTTTTTTTTTTTTTTTTTTTTTTTTTTTTTTTTTGGTACACTTCTGAGTGAACAATCTGTAGTTTGGAAAAGCTTCATCCTTCAGACCAGCATTGCAGAAGCAGAAAAACTGCAAAGGAATTCTACTATAGTTCACATTTGGCTTCAAGAAACAGGAAATCTTCCGGAGGAAGCTTTAGGTGACTGAAGTGATTAAACTAATAGATAAAGTCCGATTATCCTTAAATGCATTTCTTACTCCCTAAAATATACTTGAAATTGCACTTTTGTGGTCTATAACCCATTATCAAGAGCTGGAATATTGAACTTTCTAAGCCAGATCAATTCATCATGGCAATCTGAAAACTGGTTGGTCTGGCATGGCCTAAGAAGAGAGAAATAAACCTGTTAATGGCTTCCTCCTCTTACAGGTTTTATGACTGAATTATGCCAAATGTTAATAGAATTCAGCTAAACAAAAATAYAGCCTTAATATTTCCTCCTGAAAAGTTGTTCAGATATACCTGGTGAGTGTACTATAGACCTAAAGAAAGGAAAGAGAAGAGGTTTTTGCTATCGCAAACCAAAGTGGTATAAGACAAGGCTGCTGTGTCTAGCTATGGGAGGATATCTGGATGCGTCAACGCTTGGACAGGTTAAAATTCCTGTAATGGCTGCTCCTCTTTCTAGCAGCTTTTGTAGGGGAAGCAAGTTGATAGAAAAGCGTGTACCAAGGTCTCTCCTTGAGCTGTAGTCACTGTGACTGCAGCCAACCCACTGAGCCCCAAGCAAACTGTGCTATCACTGAGAGCTGTAATAAACAGCACGAGATTAGGCTGGTCCTGAGGGAAGGTCGCACTGAAGAACACATATTTCCTTATGCAAATATAGAAGACTTAGCATTTTATGACTRCTCTGTGACCTGCAGAGATAGAATTACTAGTCTATAAGAATTTCCTGTCTGAAAGCTCTGGTCCAGCTTGACAAGAGTGCTGGAGCCCTTCAAAGCTTGTGGAAAAAGCTCTGTGCCGTGAGGACGTTGCATCTTTTCCCAGTGACAAACAATCATTGCTTTGGCATGGCTGGGAAATAAAGTCACAGGGCTATGAACAGTTAAAGATTAACTAATCTTGGAGATAGGATGATCAAAAGAGCTAAGAACCTTTTAAAAGAGGTTTCCTGTAGCAGGGGTGAAGAAGTGATTTGAGTTGGAGAGGGAAGAAAAGCGCAGGCCAGGCTAATCTGCTGGGTTAACTAAGTGGAGAGCGATTAGATACGCCAGGAGTTACTCATACTCTGTTGTTACAGACCTCCTTTATCTCAACGTCTGCTGAGGTCATTGCAAGGGATGCTGCCCAGGAGAGGGCTGCTTCAAGTCCGCTCTGGGAATACAGGGAACTGTGTGACTCCCTCCTGGAAGAAGCCACAGCTTGGAGTGTCTGCCCTTAGAAAGACCAGGAGGGGTCAGGTTTGCAGTTTGGTAGTCCTTAGCAGTAGAAATAAGGTCTGCTTGTGCTTAAAGTGGTACAAAAATAATGCATGTAGCTCAGATTCATGTGCTTAGTCTTTACTAGGAGCATTTTTCTATAAGGCAGAGAAAAAGAAACTAGGTGTATTTCATAGATTCTACCAATAAAGCCAACCAACCAACCAAAAAAAAGAAAAAAAAACCAACAAAAGACCCACCCAAAGGTACAAAATAACAACAACAGCAACAACACCTTTGCTTTCAAATATGTTTTATATTCTTCTTATGAACCATATGGGCATTTTTATTCTTCTTATGAGCCATAAAGGCAAAATGTTAGCATACAGTCTCTAGGGACTTGATTCTGCAAGTTTGACTCTAATTAAAATTACAGCTATTTGAAGGCAGTCAGCATTTTGCAGGTTTGTTTTCAGTGGAGAACAAACATGTCAGAGATTTTGACAGCTTATTATTTCCAGGGAAAAGGAAGACTCAATTAGTTTTCTATTGCACAACAGGACAGATAATGCCGTATTAGCAACCTACAGTGCAGCTTTAACATATCAGCTACTCAAATTTTGTGTGCTTCAATGTTTAACCTTTTTTTTTTTTTTTTTTTCATATTCATCAGAAAGGAGCTGATTGCCAGGCTGGAACAAGTGGAAAAAGAAAGCATGGATGCTGCTCAGCTGGCTAAGGAGTATGCAGAACTGACAGAGGAGAATCGAACACTGAAGCTGGCCCAGACGCAGTGTGTAGAACAACTGGAAAAGCTCAGAATACAGTATCAAAAAAGACAGGGATCCTCATAACTCTCAGCTAGCTTATTTGAGGCAGTATAATACAGGACTGTTCCTGTGCTAGAAAGAGATTTTAAAATAAAGGTCTGTTTAATATGTTATAATACTTTACTACAGATACAGAGTATGTAGAGGTCTATATTTGATTTAATGCTTACCAGCCAGTAGCTTAATATAATGGATATTTCATCCATTATATAATGGATATTTTATTTCAAGTAACATAATTGAAGTTAATCTATCCCCATTATATGTTCTAGTAGATCAGGTTTCTTTTCTAAACATATTTCTTCCAATTTAAGAAGATATGGACACACTAGAAAATGATATAAATAGTCTCTGTGTTGGGAATCTGGACCATACTAAGGCATACAGCAGGGGTGATGTTAATATATGGAATACATGTATGTTAATTTTAGTTTGGTGAAGATTTTTTTAATTATTTTCCTCATACCTAAAGCGTTTGGAAGTTATCTTAAAATGGATCTCCTTATGGGTGGCAAACATGCTTTATGAGCCCATAGCTACTTTACAGTGTTGTATAAAATTCAAGAAATTGCTCATTAAAAAATTAAAGCAACACAATTGCTTTTTATCAACTGAGTGCTTGTCAGTAGTAATTTGAAAGTTATGAAATTGAAAGGAAACAGATGAGATCATTTTCCTTCCTCAAGCATAAAAAGTTAGCTGTTTTTTTTTTTTTTGTACTTTTTGGCCTTACAGAAATGAAAAAAAAAATATGAGAGTCCTACTGTCAAAGTTTCAACTGAGAATATGTCAGTGAAAATACCATAGAGGTTTTGCTCTTATTTTCTGGGCTGTTTTGAAACATAAGTGGCTGTAAGTAGGGACAGGAGTTTTGTGACATACAAATAACCTGGAATTAAAGTATTTGTTTTACATGTGCTATTTATCCCTTTATTTTCCTAGACTGATTGAAAAATCTTTGTTGTACTTCCATTTCTATTCATACAATATTTTTTTTTTCATTAAAAGCAGATATAGAAAAGCTATTTTATGTTCTGAACATTCTTAAAACACCCTGTATTTTCAACTCTGCTTGACAGAGGCAGCATGTTACATTTTTGTGAGGTGGGAATTCAATACAAGCTTGATGTGTCAGCAGTAGTATGTATATGTCTTAATAACTGAAAGCTATGACATGAAGATTTCCACAGGAACTTTAGCTTTGATTATTGTCATTGATCTGTTATAAAAACAAAATTTTAGGTTAATCAGAACAATTCCCAGGGGAAGTCCTTTGGCACCAAAATATTCCCCAGTAATTCTATACCTCCACACAGGAGGAGAGTGCAGGGGGGTAGCCAAGGCATCCCGCCTTGCCTCCTGCAAGAGCCTGTGGCTGATGGCAAAGAGATCCTGCACAGTCTTCTTGGTTTCACTTTGAGAACAGGAAACAGCACTTTGGGATGTCTTCCTCATTTCTTTTTTACAAGTTTCAGAAACAGGAGGATCGTAAATTTGTATGTTTAGTCACAGGATTTCTGTTTAGCTTTGAAATCACCAGCTGGTCTATATGCTACAGACTTTAGATTTTGACTTCCACAGATGTCAAAAACTTAAAACTGCTTCGGACTCCACAGTAAAGTATTGGCACAAATTAACTTGAGGACCCCAGTTCTTCCTAAAAGAATTTTAAACTCAGTGAAAACTGCACAAAATGATAAGATAATGAAAAACACACAAGTCTTTCATTATCTGACTGGCTTTGTGTGGAAGTGGGCTCTAAGTCGTCTAAGGTGTAGCTATTAATCACTATGGAAGTCTTTGGGAAACATTTTTACAGGTGCATTGACACCAGATTTTTGGTGTGATCCAGTTACCACCCAGGATCTGTAGCAGAAATTTTTAAACATCCCAAGCTAACTGAATTCATAGATCTGTATTTAAACTTGTCTTTTAACTATGTGCTTTAACCATTTGCAATCAATTTTTTCCTCCTATTTTTAGTTCTGCAGTTTTTAGTTCATGCCAGCATCGATGTTCATCTGTCTGAGAATAGTGACTCAGAGAGATTGCGTGACAGTCCAAATGAGAAAAGCTAAACTAGAAGTACCTGAGAAGAAAAATTAGAGAGTCATGCAAATAAAATAGGAAAAATTAAGGGGAGGTGTTATTCAATGAGGAGTAGAGGAGTGAAATTTTCCAAAAACTTTCATGGACAAATGAAGTTAAATTGCAGAAAAGTCAAGATCACCCCAGAAGTCACTCAAATTTTGCAAAGAGTAAAAGTGGCTGGAAGAACCTTCTGAGAGGTAAAAGTTGTATCTATCATTCATCTCTTGATTTTTTCATGTTAATTAAAGTGCAATGATGATAAATGTTTTYGTACTCAATGATCTCTGATTTTGGCATGCTGGATTCTTCTCTAGCTATTAGTGTGAAATGCATAGCTTTGCTGACTTAGTAATTTAAATTATGCTTTTTTAAGATAAGATTTCCTTCTTGCTGTAGTATTTATGAAGTATTTTCCAAATAGCTCTCATGCTTTGTGTCCTGTTATTCAAGGTGAGACCTTAAATTATTCTGCTTGCTAGGTCCATTTGAAGTACAGCCCTTTAAAAAATTGTTTTATGCCACTGTTTCAAAGATGTTTTTATACTGTATTTTACCAAAGAACTTAGAGTTCAGCTCATGAGTTCAAGCCCTAGGGGCTAGTTTTGTAACTTCTGACCACAGCCTGTAACGACCGCAGTTATAATCAGCAAACCACCAGAGCAGTCTGAAACATTTGGTCACGTTTCACTAGTGGTCAAAAGCTGRGTGAAAGGCTCAGGTGACAAAAGTGGTTTCTAAAAGCATCAAAGAGCATAGGCGCAGTCTGTGAGACACAGTGCATTTCTTTGTCTTATTTGGGTTATTCAGGATAACAAAAATAAATGTATCTTTACACTGACGAATGCATTTGCCTCAGATTGCTTAAGAAAACAGCCAGCGAAGTACATGGGTTTAAGAAAACAAGACCTGTGCTTTCCATTTCCCATTAGTACTTACTGACTTCCTTCCATCATAACAAGTGCTGAACAAGCTTATTTTTAAGCATTCCAGTTAGCAAGGATATGACTCATGCAGTCTTGAAACTGGCAAACTCTTGGGTGATTTAACATTTGAAAAAAATCTTGAAAATAAGCATCTGCAGGTGTTTTTGTTTGTTTTGTTAATTTGTGTTGCCTTTCCAGGATTAGCTCTATTCTAGCTGGCTTTGTGAATTAATGGCCTTTGGAAATGTCCTTCCCTTCTGCCCCTCCTGATTGTTTTATTGCCTATAAGCTTTCAGGAGTGCTATAAATTGTTCCTGATGGTTAGAAATGCATGGGATAAGACACGAGTGTTTTCTAGCAAGACTGTATGGAGCTCTGGCTGCTAGAGCCCATTCACTGCTAGAACATCCTCTCTAGAGCCCATTTGATGCTAGAACATCCTCTCCTTTTCAGAAAGGAGTGAGTCTGACCTGGTCTCTAGTTACAGGGTCATGTGGTCTTTAGCACTTTACCATAGCTCACACTAAGGTGGAAAGGGAATTAAGCTAAAACTGTATGGGTAGCCCTTGATCTTACCCTTTTCCCATCAGAGCCATTGATTTTGCAGTCTTAAATTTCAAAGTATTGAGATGATGCTTGGATGCATACCAAAATTCTGAAACTAGTATTTTAAATTTAAAGAGGAGTATTGTTTTGTAATAATGAAAAAAATCAACCTTGTCTGGAACAACAATAATGACCTATGGGTTCTTTACTATTTCTAAAGGACAGTAAAGGAGGGTCATGGATATTATCACTGCATTAGGCATATTTGCTACCAGTTTGATGGCAACCATTCACAAAATCCTGTTCACTCTGACCAAGAGTTTCCAGGCTGCACAGTTGAGTGGTGTAGCACAAGATTTAGCATATGAGTCACTCAGCACTTCTGTACAGCAAACATCAGTTTCCCCTTCTGAACCTCGGTTCCTTTAATTCCCTCCCGACCACAAGCCACGTATCTCTTCCCCTGGCTCCTGAGTAAGCAGCATCAGTCTGGAACTCAGATCCAGTTGAGTGGTTACATCATGACGTGGCCTGATGATGGCTCTGAACTCATTAGAGTTGCCAAAAGTCAGGATTGCACAAGGCTCCRGGGCTTGGGATGGGTCTACAGCAGCAAGGCATTTGGCAGCATGCCGAAATTTGGTTGGGAGACACCTTAATTACTCTGAACAGCTTAGGGAAACATATGAACAGGTGGCCTCTGGGTTTAGTGACTTGTCTGAATTYTGTATTAAGTTTTCGTACAGAAATTAGGGAAATGAAATGAGGATGTATGTGCTGATGTAACAAATGTATGGGCCTGTGTGAGACTGTCTCTTGGATCCCAAGAACGAGTATAGTGATAGGAGAACTGTGAGTGATGGAAAGGAAGCAGCCACAGATAAGAAGAGGAACCGGTGAGTGGGCTGCATGCCTTAGCTGCTTGCTGTCCTGCTTTTTATGGCTTGCATCAGAGGGATGCATAGACTGTTGTCCTTAACTCAAAATTTAAAAACCCATCTGTGGCCATTTTCCAGGACTTTTTCGGGCCTAGTTTACACAAACATTTTATATTGGAACATACATGTTTTTGTCTAACATGTCTAGTATAGACAAAGCTGGACAGTGACAAAGATACCCATAGCTTTGTAGATCAGTCTCATAAGAAAAGAGGAATAACCAGTGTTCGGCTCTTTTCTGACAATACAGATGTTTCTATGCATCCCCACTAATGATCTGTTACGGTTTTCATTGTACAAATGCAGTTTGATGCTTATATTATCTTTGACATTAGCATCAACAGTGACCCACGTGAAGAGTTATTGGTGTGATGTTCAGGATCACAAACCTTCGCCTTCCCCTTAGGAAAGTCTTGTGACTTTCCTAGAAGTGTTCGACACATCTCAGTGCACAACCCACACTGTCTGATCCCTACACGCTTCCTCAGTAAGCACTTTGGAGCACTGTTCTGTCTGCTTTGCTCATATGACTCTTTCCTGTCACTTCTTTCTGCTCAGTTTCGACAGTTGAGATACTTCAACACTCAAATTTTTAAAAGAGTAGGCAGATGCAAATAGGTCATTTGAAAACATGACTTGTGAAAGACATAACTGTGTGTGGTCAGACACTTCTGTATTCATGTTCTACACATACTTCAAAAAATAAGTTAACTGATTAGATTAGATCTCAGTATAAAAAATACAGGTGCTAATGGTCATGGAAGACAGAGAAACATTCAAAAATATACACTTACAAATATGGCCTTAACTATCAAGCTTGCACAGGGATCCTAGTCCCTGATTGTGTATCTAATCAGAAAAAAAAAAAAAAAAACATA